TGTGTGTGTGTGTGTGTGTGTGTGTGTGTGTGTGTGTGTGTGTGTGTATGAGTGGGGGGCGGAACGGGACTTAAACCACTTCCAGAGGCAGGGATTCTATGATACAAATGTTGGGCAGCTGTTCCCTCTTATAACATTCTCTTTAAACTGGAAGGGACCTCAGAGGCCATTTACTTCAGCCTCCCCATTTTACAGATAAGGACACTAAGGACCAGAGAGGTTCAATCATTTGCCCATAGTCACAAGTCCACTAAGCATCTGTGGTGGGATTTGAACCTAGGCTCTTTGATTCCAAATCCATTGCTTTTTGCCCAGTCCCATATTCCAGTTGGAGCATTTGAGGGTTCCGTGACAGTCATGTACAAAGGACATTCTAAAATGTGTTAGTCTGATACTGGTAGGAGTGCCTCAGGGATGTGTGAATATTGGATAAGTCTCCTCTACCTTGGGCTCGTCTACTGACCTCAGACTTGGCTTGATGGCTTTACAGAGGGAAATCCCAAGGTCGAGTTGGCCTAGTGACCAGGCCCTAGTCTTAGAAGACAGCTAGCACTGGAGCCAGTAGCTGGCCAGCCCTGGAGTAAGCTTCCATCTCTGATTCTGATGTGAAATACCCCCAATTCTCCCATTTATTCAGGGATATGAAACCACTGAAAACAAGATAACAGTTTGACTCTGGCTATTTGGGCTTCTCCTTTTATCTAGCCCGGTTTTCCGGTTCTCAGGAATCAGCATGGAAAGGAGTCAGTCTTTTGGCAGTTTTCCATGATGGAAACGGGTTGGACCTGCTCTTAATTCCTGGGGGTCGGAGAAGTGAAGAAGTCAGTGTTTCTCCTGTCCTACCAGTTAGGTTAACAACCCAGTCTTATCTCAGCCCTGTCAATGCATCCCAAAGTTTCTTAACTTTCCTTTTCCTTCAAGCCCTGAGTCTCTGGTCCCATTCTCACTCTGCCAATTACCAGTGTTGCTGCTTTCCCCCATATGGGCTACCGTAGGTAGTTGGCCATCCCTTGTTCTGTCCTTGAGTCTCCACTTTCCACTGCCCCTGATAATAGCATCCTCACCTAGATTTGACAGTAGACAGTAGGGGAGGTTTCTGACCTGGGCTGGCACCACAATTCTTCCTCTGAGAGGAATAGAGTATTGCATAGAAAACTGCAAAGAGACAAACTGAGAGACCTGATGTCAGGGGAAAGCTTCCTAACAACTAGGTCTTTCCCCACGTGGAATTTCATGCTTTGGGAGGCTCTGCTTTCCTCTTCTCTCTCCAATGCTCTTGTAACTCGATCCCAGACTACCTTCCCTGGATTACTCTTGATTCCCACCCTACTACTCATATTACATCAGTCTTCACTTGAGTTCACTTTGCACTGGGTTTTGCACTTATCTGCTGCACTGCACGTGTGGAGAGATTCAAGAGACCTTTTCCTGATTCCCCCAGATGTTAGTGTTCCTCCCTGAAATCATTCTTTATTTGTGCAAAGTCATAGGACTTTGAAAGGGACTTCATCGACCATCTAGCACAATCAATACCCCCAAAGGAATCCCTCCTGTAACATACCTGAGGCCATATTGTAACGTAGCTGGAGGCCTCTGCCCAAAGACCTCCAATGAGGGGAAACCTTCAGAGGGGACCCAGCCACTTCTGGACAGTCCTAACCATTAGAAAATTTTTGAGATAGCAAATCTAAATTTGCCTTTTGGCAACCTATTTTTTTTATTTTTATTTTATTTATTATATTTTATTATATATTTTTTCTATCCTGCATTGGTTTATCTGTGTTGTAATAGAACCTAAACAGAACCTAAAATAGAACCTAAAACTCCTTGAGGGAGGAGGCCAAGGTCACACAATACTAAATGAAGAACCTTTGGTCCTTCTTGAGGTCACATAGAAGAAGTGAAATCCCTCTTCCATGTAGGATTCCTTCAAATACTTGAGGACATTTATCATGTCTCCCTTGAGCCTTTCCCAGATTAAACATCCACAGTTCCTTCAATCAATCAATTCCATAGAACAGGTATTTTTAAAATGTTCTATATAGAGCACCGTGCTAGGCACCAAGGATGCCATGGTGAACTTAGATGATTTGCCCTTGATGAATTCTACTCATTAAATGAGCATCATGTGAACTATGTGCAAATCAATAGTGAGGGAACCCCAAGATCCCCTGTGACCCGGATACAGATGCATCATCTGGTTATGCTTTTGCCCATCACTGCCCTAACTCCCAACTGTGAGGACGGTACTATGTGCTAGGCACTAATATGTGGGGACAAAAAGATAAAAATGAGACAGTCTCTCCCCACTATTAGGAGAAACAACAGTAAACACATTTAAGTAAATACAATCAATCAATCAATCAATAAAAGATTTATTAAGCACCTGCTATGTGCCAGGCACTGTGCTAAGTGCTAGAGGTACAAGGTAATTTGGGGGAGGGGATTGATGGTATAAGGGAGAATCTAGCAAGACTTCATGTAGGGCTTGGTTTGAGCTAAATTTTGAAGGAAACTCAAGATTCTCAGAGGTGGAAGGCTGAGGGAAGCAGTGCAATCCAGGCATGAGGGGATGGCCTGTGCAAACGTATGGAGATGAAGTGCCGTGTTTGAGGAAAAGCAAACAGGCCAGTTTGACTAGAAAGTAGAATGCCTGAAGGGGGGGAATATGAACTGGGTATGGAAAGACAGGCCAAAGCCAGGTTGTCAAGGGCTTTAAATGCCAAGCCGAGAAGTTTGTGTTTGATCAAAGAAGCAATAGAAAGCCACTGGACCTTCTTGGGCAGGAGAGTGACATGATCAGGCCTTGACCTTAGAAATGTCACTTGGCAGCAGTGGGGAGGTTGGATTGGAGAAAGAAGAGTCTGGATGCAGGGAGACTGAATGAGAAGGGCATCACAGTAGCTGTGGCTAGAGTTTCCAAGGGTTTGAACTAGGGTGGTGGTGTTGGGCATCAAGAGAAGGGGATGTGTGTAAAAGATGTTGAATGGACAGGAACAGCAAGACTTGACAATTAATTGGATATGGTGGTGGGACAGAGAGAGAGAGAGAGAGAGAGAGGGAGAGGGAGGGAGGGGGAGAGAGAAGTCAAGAGAGACTGAGGCTGTGAGGCTCTGCTGCTTAATAGCTGTGTATTTGTTTTTCTGTGACCATGTAGTTCCCCTTGGTGAAGTGTAAGATCCCAGAGGGCAGGGACCATCTCATTTCTGTCTTTGAGTCCCCATCACCTAGCACAGTGTATGGCACATAGTAGGTGCTTAATAAATGATTGAGATGCTGTGGAGCTGTGACTGCTGTCAAATCCCAGGGCTGTTCCAGATCTCCAGGAACGGCTCAGACCATCCCCTCTCCCTTTTACCAGAAAGGGAGCTGAGTAGATGGTGAGCCACTCCCACCCCCACCCCCACCATCATTGACCAAGGGTTACCTAACAGCTTGGGCCCATTATCTACCCTTGACATTGTTTTTGCTTTTTCAATTTCTTTTTTTTTTTTAAATTAACAAAGATCAATTTTCTCTCCTTTCCTACCTCAACACACTCTATATCTGTGTCTGTGTTGGCTCTGTGTGCAGGGTGTCACTGAGGGCTACAACGGCACTATCTTTGCCTACGGCCAGACAGGCAGTGGGAAGTCTTTTACTATGCAAGGCCTGCCAGACCCTTCCACCCAGAGAGGCATCATCCCCAGAGCGTTTGAACATATCTTTGAGAGTGTCCAGGTATGAGGGCTGGAGGGGGTGGAACTGGGCTGGAAGGGGATGCTGGTTAAAAAGAAAAGGCCCCGTGGGTCAAAAATCACCTTAAGCCGCCACTTTCCATAGGCTCAGCTGTTTGGTGACCCCTGGGGGTGAGTTCCATCAAGAAGAGAATCTATTTCTTCAAACTAATTCAATTTTTTTAAAAATTAATTTTAAAAATCAATTAACACAAATATTTTTTCTCCCTATCATCTCCCCACTGGAAAAAAAAAGAAAAACAAAACAAATCCCTTGTAACAAATATACTACAAATAACAAATATGTTCTGTAACCCTTGTAACAAATATTCAGGCAAAGCAGATTCCCATATTGGCCATGTTCAAAAATGTCTCATTCTGCATATTTAGTCCATCCCCTCTCTGTCAGGAGGTGGGCATCAGGCTGCATTAAAGGTCCTCTGGAGTCATGGCAGAGTTCTTACATCTTAAGTTGTTTGTCTTTACAGAACTTTTGTTTTTGTTGTATAAATTGTCCTGGTTCTGCTAACTTCATTCTGCATCAGTTCCTACAAGTCTTCCCAGGTTTCTCTGAAACTATCTCTTTCATAATTTCTTATAATATAGTAGTATTCGGTCCCAAGTCTTCTATTATCTGCCATGATTCATTCAACCATTCCCCAATAAGGTGGGCACCCAGTTCTTTGCCACACAAAAAGAGGTTGCTAGGCTCCTTGGCCAAGGTCAGGCATCTACCTTAGGTCTCACTTTTCTACCTGGAAAAGAGAGAGTTATGGGAAGTTGCAAAGGAACATTTATCCAAATTCAACACAATAGAAGAGAATTGTTTAACTCTTAGAAGGCAAGGTAATAAATAGCTCACCTTTATATAATACTTTGATGGTTTACAAAGTGCTTTAAAGACATTATCTCCTCTGAACTTAAAATAACCCTGTGTGGGGTTATTAATACTATTACCCCCATTTTGCTAATGAGGGAATTGAGCCTGAGGGAGATTAAATGAATTTTCCAGGGTCACAGAGAAAGTAAGTGTCAGAAAGTAAGCTGGATTTGAACTCAGGTCTTCCTGGCTCCAGATCCAGTGTTCCATCTACTCTTCAGGCTGCCACTCATTGTGAAGCATGCCCCATGAGTGAGGGGGCAAAGTTTATAGATTACTGGACCAGGAGTCCGGAAGACTTGAGTTCAAATCCGACCTCAGACACTTACAACCAGTATGACCCTGGGCAAGTCATTTAACCCTCTTCCCCTCAGTTTCCTCTTCAGTAAAATGAGCTGGAGCAGAAAATGTCAAACTACTCCAGGATTTTTGCCAAAAAGATCTCAAATGGGGTCATGAAGAGTCGGACATGATTGAACAACAACAACACATTCTTTACATTGATGTAATAGTTACTGAGTAACCATTTCTGGTTGTCCTTGTTGTGTTTGGTTTTAAGTTCATGTAAATCTTCCCATGCTTCTTTATGCTCATCTCATTCATCATTCCTTCCAGCCTAATTGGAGTCCAATGCACCCTAGGCTTTTGTAAGGAAGTATTTTGTGAACTGTACAGTTCTAGAGAAACCCAAGCTAATCTATGCTCATTAGACGCAATCTGGAGCCGAGCATCCTTTGGGAAGGACTGGCCTGGGTCCTCTCTGGTCTGGTTTGCAGGGCTCTGTGCTGGAGAATCCAAGTCTCTCCCCATTTCCTCCCTACAGTGTGCGGAGAACACCAAATTCTTGGTCCGGGCTTCCTATCTAGAGATCTATAATGAGGATATTCGAGACCTGCTGGGAGCTGACACCAAGCAAAAGCTGGAGGTGAGGACAGGCCCAGGGGTCGTCTTTCAGGAACCATGGCTTGGGCATAGAAAGAGATGGGAACTGTGGCTATTCTGGGGACCTCAGTCTCATCAGTAAGGGACTGATAACAGAACCCCTGGAGGGTTCTGGACAGGCCAGCCTTGATTACATCCATTCAGAAAATATTCAATGTTTCTTGCAAGCAAGAGATTGTGTTTGGCACTGGGGAAACAAAGTGAATAGCAGCTTATCAATCACTCAATCAATCCAAAAATGAGCATTTCTTAAACCCCTACTATGTGGTAGGATCTGTGCTAAGCCATTGGTGATGCAGAGGCAAAGATGAAACAGCCCCTGCCCTCTTGAAACTTACATTCTTCTGGGGCTGTGGTGGGGTGGGCAGGGAGGGAGAGATGCCAGCAGTGGACAGGTAAGGCTAATACAGTGGGGAGTGACGGTAATGGGGAGAGCTGCAGACAAAAGGGTGCTCTAAGACAGCCTAGATCTGTCTCTAGGATCGTTTGAAGAGGAGAGACCACTTTCCACTAAGGTTGGGGGAACTGGGGGGGGGGGACACAGAGGAGACTTTTTGAAAGAAGTGGGACCCAAATGGGGTCTTGGAAAAAGAGAAAGGATTTCAGCAGGTGGGAATACAGAGTTAGTGGGTTCTAGGTGTTGGGGTTGAGTAGGGGAGCAGCTTGCAAAAACTGAACAGTGGAGGATAGCTAGGCCAAAATGTAAGTCTGTTGAGGCAAGGCATTGAGGCCAGCATTTTAAAGGGCCTTGAATGCTAAGCCAAAGAATTTCTGTTTTCTCCCAGAGGCTGTTAAGAGATACAGTAGGTTTTCAAGGTAGTTTCTTTACAGACAAATCCCCGTTATCTCCAGGCATAGGCTCCACCCTGTTCTTGCTCCATAGCTGGGTTCTGGGCAAAAGCCCATGGCTGTGAATTTAGTTACAAAGTTTTTTCCATTTCCCAGGGGTTGAGCCTTGGTGACGGTTTTGTGAACTTGGTACCAGCACTGTCCCTGATGAGTCTGTGTTATACAGAGGCAGCTGAGAGAGTGGACAGAATGTTGGATATCTGCCCTGGGATTCTCCTTCAGTTTACTAGCTGTGTGATCCTGGGGCAGTCAGTTAACCTGTCAGCCTCAATTTCCTTCAGCTGTACAACAGAGTAGTTAATAATATCATCTATCTCAGAGGAGGGTTGTGGAAAACTTGGTCAGATAATGGATAAAAAAGCTTATCACTATGTAAATTTGAGCTATCATGATTATGACAATTACAATTATTTGCCAAATGCCTTCTCTAGGCTCTGGAGAAGGAGATGGGTATCTGACCCTTTGTTTGCAATGGAAGTTCAGGAGGGACTGAGATCTTCCGTGCTCCAATATCCTGCCATGGACCTTCAGTGGACCCTTTAAACATTCCTTGGCCCTCTCTGTCTCCAGGGCTGCCATTCTACCCTCACTCTTTCTACTGTACCAAATTTCAATGGCCCCAGAGGATGCCGGTGAACAGATCAAGAACTGGGAGGGCTTTTAAAGACATTCTTCAGACTTTACAGATGGAAAAAGGAGAAGCCCAGACAGGCCTAGCGAGGGCAAATGGCCCGGCCAGTGTCAGGACCAACAGAGTTTAGGAGCATAGGTCAGTAGCAGGGAATGTTTCAGTTCTCCCTGCCCCCTCAATGTGTCATTGCCAAAGAGACTTGGACATTAGGTTCTGCCTTAGGGCACCTGCCAAGCGGGTTCTGACTATAGTCAAGAGGAAAGAGAGAGATGGGAAAAAGAAACGATGGCTTCTATTGTGCTATTGTGAATGCAGCTTTAACCTAGAAATTACAGGAGAAAAGCCTGCCCCCGTATTAGTCACATATAAATATAGTTCTATCCCTCCCCCATTCTCCTTCAGCCATTTCATACCCTGAAACCAACTCCAGCAGCAGAGGGGGTGCTGGCTCTGGCATAATCAAGAGGAATAAAATCCTAGCTGGATATGTATTAGCCATGTGACCCTGGGAAAATGGATTCCCACTCTCTGAGCCTCAGTCTTCTAATCTGTAAAACAGGGATAATGATACTGTACCGCCTACAGGGTAGTTGTGAGAAAAGTGTTTTGTGAAGCTCAAGGTGCTACATACATTTAATTGGTTGTTAATTATTGTTACTTTACCCAGGGATCTAATGGGGGGGGGAATGCCTCCTACAGGAAATCTTTCCTAATAATTTCAGTTGTCAGGTACAAACTTATCCATTTACAGTATGTTAGAGTAGCCCTGAAGCTCAGTAGAATGGAAGCTCCTTGAGGGCAGGGATTATTTCTTTTGTCTTTGTATCCCCAGTGGTGCCTGGCACAGAGTAGTTGTTGGATTGGATTGGAGGATGGAGATGGGGTCAAGGAGGCAGGGTTTTGGGATGCTGCACCATCGAAATGGCATTACCTGTGAACAACAACTCCAGAGACCCCCGTCACCTTTCCCCCGACCCTTTCAGCATTTGGTTTTAGCTGAGCCTCCCCTCCCCATAATGCCTCCCACTTCACTCCAGCTATATTTGATGAGGCAAGTGCTCGATTGGCCATTGAATTGGCCCAAAGCATCTTCTGGTTTTAAAAGGAACCTCTTCCTTACACTGGGAAGAATTCCTTCTCTCCTCCCTCTTTCTCTCTCTCTTCTCTCTTCCTTTCCTCCTTCCCTCACCCTCTCTTCCCCTTCCTTCTCTCTCTCTCTCTTTCTCTCTCTGTCTCTGTCTGTCTCTCTCTGTCTATCTTTCTCTGTCTCTATCTTTCTCGGTCTCTCTGTCTCTGTCTCTCTCTCTGTCTGTCTCTTTCTGTCTCTCCTTCTCTCTTTCTCTGTGTCTCTCTATCTCTCT